TTTATCTCGTGTCCGGTATGAATGATTCGTCTTTGACCAAATTAAAAAAATGATTAATTGAGATGCTCGTAAACATACCCGAACATTCTTTACTGTTGAACGAAAAAAAGAAAAAGATAAAACTCTTTATAGTAATTGTCTTGTATTCTACTTACCACTTGCTGCTTTACCATTGCATTATGCAGGTATAGTTTTTCAATTTGTTATCTTTTAATCCTCGTTTCAAAAAGGGTAAAAGTGATAGATAGAAAACCAGATCTTCAGCACAAGAAAATGGAACGAACTCATGCATATATAATATGATGATGGCTTCCAATTTAACATTAAAAACAGAAAATGAAACAATACCATCAAATAGAAAAGAACAAGTATTTATTATTTACATCTGGATATACATATATAGTCTGTATATATATTCCCACGAGTCTCTCAAAGATGAAATAAACAACCAAACTTCAAATTCTCAATATAATAAATTTTGTGCTACTTCTTAAAAGTTGTCATTTGCAGTTCAAACCCTCAACTGCAGTTCTTGAAGAAGTAAGCGACATGACACAGTTCATATCTGCAGATTTCTTCTTCTTGATCACCTTCATCAACTCTACTTTTCCACTCAATCTAGCTTGGCTTATCAGCTCCAAAAACCCCATTGCCAGTGTTTGAAGGAAGCAATTCTGCATTGATATAAACTTTTTTCGTCGATCGTGCCTTGGCCCTTCCCTCCGGGATCACCAAACTGCCCTATAGTCACCCCCCCGGATGTGATCGTGCCCATGCTGCTCTCAAATTTGTAGTGACCAAAATTAGTATTCTTTACCGTCACTTGTGCTGTTATCCTTACAGAGTCACCAACAGTGTCAATAGTGACAGCGCCTAACCTGACCTTAGGCGATTTGATGCGCATAACAGTGAGGGCAAATACGAGGATAATCACGGTCTGAAAACACAGCAAACAAAGCAATATAGGCGAAGCATTTCAATCTTTTCTTCTTTTGAAGCTCCTTGGATTGCAAAATAGCTTGATTCTACATCGCTCCTTGGGCCCTCCGTTGCCGGGGCTAGGGGATACACCTGCTGGTTCTTTTCTGCCATTTTTTCCGAAGGGTAATCAGGAAATTTTGGTACTATTCTTCTTTCAAGAACTTGATTATTTTCTACGGTGACAAACAAGGGACAATTATGTGTCCTATATATAGAGTCATTTTCAGAAAGTTTGAGATTTCAAACAGAGGGCAACTTCTTGGAAAATGTTTATTTGATAACATAGGTCATCTATAAATTCAGATATTTTAAGTTCGAATATTACCAATCATTTATAACTAGATCATGATAAATTTATTCATTATAAATATTCTAATTTCAGTATACATGGTATGTCTTTAAACCAGACATGAGAGAGGATTAGTCAGATATGCGTAAGTTAATTTGGATATTCTTAACCCTAATTATCAAATAAAAAAATATATATTAAATAGTCATTGTTCAATTCTAAACGAGTCTAAGGTTCAAATTTTGACTTGTAGGATGCTATGATCTTCGGTAATGACCTCCGAGTTTATTAATATAATACATAATTTTGCATTATTTATAATAGAAGCTTCGATCCTACTCGTTAATGAGATGAGACGTTGTATTTTGACTGTTGGGTAACAATGTGCAATCAGATTTCAAGGGTCCGAAAACCAAAGTCAAGGCTGTCCTTGTCCGGAGGGTCGCGGTTTAATCATGTGACGTAACGATTAATGCTCAACAACCATATATATATATATATACATATATTCAGAATATTCACCAGTTTTTTTTGTGGCTTTTTTATCACTCTACCAAAAAAGTTCTTGCACCCAAGTTTAAGCTCTGCTCTTTTTTCTATGAGCATCGTCGAACTTTTGCTCTGACAACATTTGTTTGAAATAGTACAGTAATTCAATGCTCAATATATAATTTTGAGATTTATACTTATCTAAAAAATACAGTATATTAAGACACTTTAACATATTTTTTTTTTATTCCATGTAAGACTCAACAATCTTCTTTTCGTGTGTGAAACCAATAGGACTTAACATTCCTAGAATTTATTTTGAGCCAATAGGGCTTAACTCTCCTAGAATTTTTTTTTTTTTTCGGTGTCGTAGTCCAACCCATATATGTCTTGTTTTGACACAACAAGAACAAAATGTTGATGTGGGTCAATATGAGGAAAAATATTTTTGTATCCCAAATGAATAGGAATTTTTAAACGAGTGAATCCCATTAAAAAAAATGTTAATAGAATTTCATTAATTCTAGGGTTTTTACTGATTTAATGTATAACTTGGAATTTCTATCATTATTACAATCCATTTATTTTTTTGTTATAGGGTATTTAGAGTTGTATCGACTATTCTCTTAAGTTCAAAGGTTAGTCACCGTGTCTTGAACTGATCTAAAAATATATCCTTAAAAAATATAAGAGTGATTAATCCTTACGAGGTAATGAGAAGAGATTGAATCTAATACATCTGAATTTTCAAAATAACAGACCTAATCATTTGTTTACTTTACAATGATTAGGTCTGTTATTTGAAAATTCAGATGTATTAGATTCAATCTCTTCTCATTACCTCGTAAGGATTAATCACTCTTATATTTTTAAGGATATATTTTAGATCAGTTCAAGACACGGTGACTAACCTTTGAACTTAAGAGAATAGTCGATACAACTCTAAATACCCTATAACAAAAAAAAATAAATGGATTGTAATAATGATAGAAATTCCAAGTTATACATTAAATCAGTAAAAAACCCTAGAATTAATGAAATTCTATTAACATTTTTTTAATGGGATTCACTCGTTTAAAAATTCCTATTCATTTGGGATACAAAAATATTTTCCTCATATTGACCCACATCAACATTTTGTTCTTGTTGTGTCAAAACAAGGGATATATGGGTTGGGACTACGACACCGAAAAAAAAAAAAAAATTCTAGGAGAGTTAAGCCCTATTGGCTCAAAATAAATTCTAGGAATGTTAAGTCCTATTGGTTCACACACGAAAAGAAGATTGTTGAGTCTTACATGGAATAAAAAAAAAATATGTTAAAGTGTCTTAATATACTGTATTTTTAGATAAGTATAAAATCTCAAAAATTATATATTGAGCATTGAATTACTGTACTATTTCAAACAAATGTTGTCAGAGCAAAAGTTCGACGATGCTCATAGAAAAAAAGAGCAGAGCTTAAACTTGGGTGCAAGAACTTTTTGTAGAGTGATAAAAAGCCACAAAAAAAAACTGGTGAATATTCTGAATATATGTATATATATATATATATGGTTGTTGAGCATTAATCGTTACGTCACATGATTAAACCGCGACCCTCCGGACAAGGACAGCCTTGACTTTGGTTTCGGGACCCTTGAAATCTGATTGCACATTGTTACCCAACAGTCAAAATACAACGTCTCATCTCATTAACGAGTAGGATCGAAGCTTCTATTATAAATAATGCAAAATTATGTATTATATTAATAAAACTCGGAGGTCATTACCGAAGATCATAGCATCCTACAAGTCAAAATTTGAACCTTAGGACTCGTTTAGAATTGAACAATGACTATTTAATATATATTTTTTATTTGATAATTAGGGTAAGGAATATCCAAATTAACTTACGCATATCTGACTAATCCTCTCTCATGTCTGGTTAAAGACATACCATGTATACTGAAATTAGAATATTTATAATGAATAAATTTATCATGATCTAGTTATAAATGATTGGTAATATTCGAACTTAAAATATCTGAATTTATAGATGACCTATGTTATCAAATAAAACATTTTCCAAGAAGTTGCCTCTGTTGAAATCTCAAACTTTCTGAAAATGACTCTATATATAGGACACATAATTGTCCCTTGTTTGTCACCGTAGAAAATAATCAAGTTCTTGAAAGAAGAATAGTACCAAAATTTCCTGATTACCCTTCGGAAAAAAATGGCAGAAAAAGAACCAGCAGGTGTATCCCCTAGCCCCGGCAACGGAGGGCCCAAGGAGCGATGTAGAATCAAGCTATTTGCAATCCAAGGAGCTTCAAAAGAAGAAAAGATTGAAATGCTTCGCCTATATTGCTTTGTTTGCTGTGTTTCAGACCGTGATTATCCTCGTATTTGCCCTCACTGTTATGCGCATCAAATCGCCTAAGGTCAGGTTAGGCGCTGTCACTATTGACCACTGTTGGTGACTCTGTAAGGATAAACAGCACAAGTGACGGTAAAGAATACTAATTTTGGTCACTACAAATTTGAGAGCAGCATGGGCACGATCACATCCGGGGGGGTGACTATAGGGCAGTTTGTGATCCCGGAGGGAAGGGCCAAGGCACGATCGACGAAAAAAGTTTATATCAATGCAGAATTGCTTCCTTCAAACACTGGCAATGGGGTTTTGGAGCTGATAAGCCAAGCTAGATTGAGTGGAAAAGTAGAGTTGATGAAGGTGATCAAGAAGAAGAAATCTGCAGATATGAAACTGTGTCATGTCGCTTACTTCTTCAAGAACTGCAGTTGAGGGTTTGAACTGCAAATGACAACTTTTAAGAAGTAGCACAAAAATTTATTATATTGAGAATTTGAAGTTTGGTTGTTTATTTCATCTTTGAGAGACTCGTGGGAATATATATACAGACTATATATGTATATCCAGATGTAAATAATAAATACTTGTTCTTTTCTATTTGATGGTATTGTTTCATTTTCTGTTTTAATGTTAAATTGGAAGCCATCATCATATTATATATGCATGAGTTCGTTCCATTTTCTTGTGCTGAAGATCTGGTTTCTATCTATCACTTTTACCCTTTTTGAAAACGAGGATTAAAAAGATAACAAATTGAAAAAAACTATACCTGCATAATGCAATGGTAAAGCAGCAAGTGGTAAGTAGAATACAAGACAATTACTATAAAGAGTTATCTTTTTCTTTTTTTCGTTCAACAGTAAAGAATGTTCGGGTATGTTTACGAGCATCTCAATTAATCATTTTTTTAATTTGGTCAAAGACGAATCATTCATACCGGACACGAGATAAAATCTATTATAACCTGACCTCAAAAGATTGTTAAAAATTTGAAATTTAAAATATCTAATTTACAATTAATCTCTATTGCTACTTGGAA